ATTTTTTATTTTAGCAAACGTCATTTGAGGGGTTAAATGGTCAAAGATTGACAAAGTTATTTTAAAGGCAGCGGCTATTTGCAATTAGTGTAAATAGCGATAGATGCTATTTACACGGTGTAAATAGCAATTAGATTCTATTTACACTAAGTGCAAATAGCACATTTTCTTAGCGATAGATACTATTTACACTTAAGTGCAAACAGCGATAGATGCAATTTACAATAAGTGCAAATAGCAATGGATTCTATTTACACTAAGTGAAAATAGCAGTATTTTTTAACGATATGCTATTTACACCGTGCAAATAGCTATAGATTATATTTACACTGTTAAAACAGCAAGATTTTCTGCTATTTATACTACTTCTTGCAAATAGTAGCAATTATCTGCACCTCAGTATTGTAGCACATTATAAAACAGTACACAATAATAATGTATTGAGTGTAAATTATCATTTTAATTCAAATTATTAAATGGATGCACCTTATTGGGACAATAAAGCCCTCCCTACACCTACCCTAACCCTACCCGATACTTTATTTTCAACTTTTTGATTATTTCCTTCATTTTTATTGAAAATACATGCCTTTCCGATGCGATATGAGATTTGAAACGGCAGAAAAAAAGTTCGGCACAAGGCGGGCTCGAACTCGGGTCGATCGCGTCAAAAAGCACACGCCTTACCCTCTTACGCCACTGAAACTTTTATCAGTTGACCATCCCAGTCAGACATTGGTGGGCGGAGTTAGTGTAAATAGACACTCTGTATTTTAAAATACCCAACTTGTGGAGTATTCACGTAAACACGGTTATGTCTTAACTGAAGCTAAACAGTTAGGGGAAAATTGTGTCAGTATATGGGATCCGTGCATTAGGACAGCACAATATACGTCATATACCTGCTGCTGACTTTGTTAATCAAAAAATATATATAAAATAAAAAATACTGCTCTTAACTTAATTAATTGTGTAGCTTTAATTCATAACTTTGTTCACATTTTATTACTGACTATTTACTTGTCTTCAGTAAGCTAGAGAACTTTGTGTAATAGTTACTAGTAGGCTAGTGTTGTGTAGAATGTATACTTTGGGGCAGCCACATATACTACAGTGCAGAGATCTGCGCGGGATTGTTTTTTTTAGTCCCGCTCCCGCATAGTTTATATTCCGCACCCACCGGCTCCTGCTATATATTCACTCTTTGTTCACCCGCTGTCCGCTTAGAATAATTTTCTTCCCGACCCAACCGTTCCCACTAAATTTAGATCTCGTTTCCAAAATCTCACATTTAAATTTCCACTACTGAAAGAAAGAGAGATAGGCTGACAAATAAAAGTGTAGTCTTCACAAAATTGTATGTTATTTTATTCGTCTTGTCAAGAGTCTTGAATTTATTGACTTTGACTTGAATTTATATGAATTATCTTAGAAAAAGTGTCGCATCCTTATTCTGCTCTGTCACTCATCGACAACCTGCCTGTTCTTTCTGAGGGCCATATATTTACCACAGGTACAGCCTGCTCTGAGCATCGTTATGCACATGCTGCGCACAGACCACGCAAATAAAACGCGTGACGTTTAAACGTTTAAAGCATGCGTGCAGCGCGTGCATAACAGTCCTGTACTGCAAGCTGTACCGGTGGTCAATAAGAATAAAGCGCAGATATGCTGTTCTAAATGGACGTCGGGAACGGGATATTGTTAGACCGCCCGCTCGCGTTCAAATTACACCAAAGTTACGGTTCCCGCGGGAATGCAGACCTCTACCGCAGTGCAACAAAATTGTGATGTCACAGCAGATCACACTTAATTTACCCCCACCCCTACACGACTCTAATGTATGATACAGTGGTGTGAAAAAGTGTTGGCCCCCTTCCTAATTTCTTATTTTTTTGCATGTTTGTCACACTTTAATGTTTCAGATCATCAAACAAATTTAAATATTAGTCAAAGATAACACAAGTAAACACAACATGCAGTTTTTAAATGAAGGTTTTTATTATTAAGGGAAAACAAAATCCAAAACTACATGGCCCTGTGTGAAGAAATGTTTGCCCCCCTGTTAAAACTGGTTTATCACACCTGAGTTAAATTTCTCTAGCCACACCCAGGCCTGATTACTGCCACACCTGTCCGCAATCAAGAAATCTCTTAAATAGGACCTGCCTGACAAAGAGAAGTAGACCAAAAGATCCTCAAAAGCTAGACATCATGCCGAGATCCAAAGAAATTCAGAAACAAATGAGAAAGAAAGTAATTGAGATCTTTCAGTCTGGAAAAGGTTATAAAGCCATTTCTAAAGCTTTGGGACTCCAGCGAACCACAGTGACAGCCATTATTCACAAATGGCAAAAACATGGAACAGTGGAGAACCTTCCCAGGAGTGGCCGGCTGACCAAAATTACCCCAAGAGCACAGCGACGACTCATCAAAGAGGTCACAAAAGACCCCACAACAACATCCAAAGAACTGCAGGCCTCACTTGCCTCAGTTAAGTTCAGTGTTCATGACTCCACCATAAGAAAGAGACTGGGCAAAAACGTTTTTTATGGCAGAGTTTCCAGAAGAAAACCGCTGCGGAGCAAAAAGAACATAAAGGCTCGTCTCAGTTTTGCCAGAAAACATCTTGATGATCCCCAAGACTTTTGGGAAAATACTCTGTGGACTGACGAGACAAAAGTTGAACTTTTTGGAAGGTGTGGGTCCCATTACGTCTGGCGTAAAAGTAACACTGCATTTCAGAAAAAGAACACAATACCAACAGTAAAATATGGTGGTGGTAGTGTGATGGTCTGGGGCTCTTTTGCTGCTTCAGGACCTGGAAGACTTGCTGTGATAAATGGAACCATGAATTCTGCTGTTTACCAAAAAATCCTGAAGGAAAATGTCCGGTCATCAGTTCGTGACCTCAAGCTGAAGCAAACTTGGGTTCTGCAGCAGGACAATGATCCAAAACACACCAGCAAGTCCACCTCTGAATGGCTGAAGAAAAACAAAATGAAGACTTTGGAATGGCCTAGTCAAAGTCCTGACCTGAATCCTATTGAAATGCTGTGGCATGACCTTAAAAAGGCGGTTCATGCTCGAAAACCCTCCAATGTGGCTGAATTACAACAATTCTGCATAGATGAGTGGACCAAAATTCCTCCACAGCGCTGTAACAGGCTCATTGCAAAGTTGTTGCTGCTAAGGGTGGCCCAACCAGTTATTAGGTTTAGGGGGCAAACACTTCTTCACACAGGGTCATGTAGTTTTGGATTTTGCTTTCCCTTAATAATAAAAACCTTCATTTAAAAACTGCATGTTGTGTTCACTTGTGTTATCTTTGACTAATATTTAAATTTGTTTGATGATCTGAAACATTAAAGTGTGACAAACATGCAAAAAAATAAGAAATCAGGAAGGGGGCCAACACTTTTTCACACCACTGTATATGAAAAGAACATCAAAATAAGAGTGTTAGAACAGAAATAATTAAACCAGACATGACAACTCCGGTTAATTTATTGGCAGTAATGACCATAAAGTCAGAATCATAATTCCTGTACTTTGCTTTCTGACTAGGCAAAGTTTCACTTTACAAAAACACATTTTCACATGACAGAGTTTAATAACAGAATAAGCATATTGGATGAACTTGCAGTGCCAAAAATGTAAACATGAGATATTATGGCTTTAGGTGATGGTTTAACATTGTTATAGGACCAAACACACAATGTAAATGGAAAGAACTGTCTGTATAGCATTAACCAATAACTTCTAAAGTTTAAAGTTTAACTTCTAAGTTATGCATTTCTAATATACATACTGTACCAATACACATTACTATTCAATTCTAGCACAACCAAAGTATCATATAAAAACAGCTCAGAACATCAGTTTGGGTTGCTTATACTGCTACCCTAACTGTCTGAGGCATCCATATGTGCAGTTTATAATATTGTTATTGTGGTTATGATAGATTGTTTACAATTTACAGAATTCAATTCACACTAATCATCATTAAGCATAAATATGAAAGTCACTGACTGCCTAACATTAAGCCCACACAGTGGAAAATATGTAGCGTAACAGTGCACACTGACAATAACCAAAGTTTATAAAAGTATCAGGTAATAGTAACAATAATTTTTATAATAATAAATACAATAGAAAACAAATGTATTTGAAATATTCACTTTCATACAACATATTTAATTCCTAAAGCCATAAACAATTGCAGTATTAGCAGCAAAACCCTTGTGGTTTCAGGATACACGAACCTTCACACTAAAACTGTGTATGCATTATTATTAATATTTAATAATTAGTTTATTTCTATACACAAGTAAAACCTCCTAAATTTTTGATATTTTATATAATTACATATTTTTCCCCAAATGTGTTGTGATGTTATTTGTTTTTGTTTCATAGCTGTCATGAATCATGACTGGATATTTATTAAAAAAAAAATATTTTTCTCTGATTCTCTTTTTTTAATCCACTTAATAATTCAGGATCCACTTAAGAATCAGTGACAGATTGCGTGAGTCTCTAGAACAATGATCATGAATTCCATATGTGTTAGTTATTTAAAGGAATCCACTCATAAAAGTCATTTGTTCTGGGTTTGCTGTTGGTTTGTCATTATGTGCATTCAGCAACACCAACGCAAAAGAAATTCTGAGGCATCCAGTCCTTCTCTCTCATAACATTCAATTCAGACTGCGAACTGCAGCTCAAACAAAACATTTCTTTTGTGGCACTGTAGATTCAGTAGCAGCAACACAGGAAACACAGTCTGAATATTTTAAAATTGTGTTCTGCATCAGCAGAAAAAAATATGCCTACAAACCAATAAGTACAAAAGTGAAAAACAAATATGTATTCTAATGAAACATCTGATGATAGTATTATGATACACAGAATTTTAATACCTCATTTATACTGCATCATGAAGACAATTCAGAATTTTTTAAAAGCCTATATTCAGATAAAATGAAGGAAAATTATAATAAATTATTTATGCTGTGTATACTGTTTTTAAAAAAGCATTATTTAGTGGAACTAGACCTTGGGCAGTGACACTTAACACTAGTGGCCTTAAAAAGCATGGCAGAGGCTATTCAAAATCTATGACAAGAAATACATTTGCCGGCAATAATAGCTTCCAGAAAATGTCAGAGTTGTGATGTGTGCAACCCTTGCCTTGACACGCACATAACTAAATTCCTCAAAGCTCCATCTTCACAAACATTATCTGCTGCCTTCTCTCCTGAATCAGAAAGCTCGTGGCAATAGCAGATCTCTTGGTATGAAAATTTAAGCTCCTCTAGCTGTTCACTGTCCAGGCTCCACAGGAAGGCGGCTTTCATAGAGACTCAAGACATGATGCACAAATTCATATTGTTCCTCCGTTTGGATCATACCACCCCTGTGGAAAAATACACCACATGATTACAGTCAAGCCTTGCAACAACAATCACAATTACAATTAGAATTTTATGAAAATCTTGTTATAGTTTTTGCTTGTTTGTAGTTGTTTTAGCTGCTGAAAGAAAAGGTGTTTTTATGGGATTTTCTTCCAAACAGTGAATCTACAGATTAAAATGCATGACTGAGCTGTCTGTGAAACCAGGCCTAAATTTCTGTGTTTAGTCTAGCTAGGACTAAACCTCCATCAGCTTGGCTGCCCCCTGGAAAGATATATGGAGGATTTTTTACTTATTCCATGAAGTCCCCAGGGAGTAGACACATGCTTAAAGCATGTTTTCAGGAGGAATTGGATGACTACGGCCTAAATTTCTGTGTTTAGTCTAGCTAGGACTAAACCTCCATCAGCTTGGCTGCCCCCTGGAAAGATATATGGAGGATTTTTTTACTTATTCCATCAAGTCCCCAGGGAGTAGACACATGCTTAAAGCATGTTTTCAGGAGGAATTGGATGACTATATATACCTTTCCCTCTCACAGGGAAGGGACAGCACCACAGTAGCCCAGTACAGTACATCAACTCTGATCTATGGCTATTTCGTCATGGAGGAGATGGAAATGGACCACATCTGAGACTATCCAGCTACTTTCCAAGTCCATCTGTCTACTCCAGTCCTTCCCAGGGCAGAGCCTATGCCCACTACGGACCCAGAGCCAAAGTCTACACCCGTCACAGACTAAGAACCCACTCCTGTTACAAAGCCAGAGGCTGCCGGCATGTCCATCCTGGAGCTGAATCTCAGGAGTGTGTTCCTGCCCATGTTCCCTTCCCCAAGGCCTTTTGGGCACTCTGCTTCCAAGCACTTTCTTGGACCTTCTTACTCTGGTGGTTCCGTCCAGCTTCCAAGCTCCTTTATCTCTGCAGGTTCGGCCCGGCTCCCTGGTTCCTTTGTCTTCGCCGGTTCCACCCAGCTTCTTGGCTCCTGTTCTCCACTGTTTCTGTCCAGCTCCACTACTTCTTCTCTGCTGGCTCCATCTAGCACACATGCTCCACCTCGAGCTTCCTGGTTCTCAGCGCTGGCTCCACCTCCAGCTTCTAAGCCCATGACTCCGCTCACCCTGTGAACACAGGCTCATCGCTCCCTCTGTGGTCTCTACTGTGGTCTGTCATCCCTCAGGCTCCCTTGTTCCTTTGGCTTCACCTTGGTTCATTGTCACTTTGATTTTACCAGACTTCCAGATCTCCGCCTGCTCCTTCGCCTTCCACTCTCTTTGGCTCCACCAGGCTCATCCTTCATCCTCATTCCACTATCTAAGTCTTGGTCTGCCGAGCCCCCAGTTGGTGAACAGGACAGTGAACTATCCTAGTACTTCAAATATTTAATCTCAAGAATTTGTGTTGTATTCATATTCATAATTGTTTTCGTAATTGTATTTCAAAACACTGAACCAGTTGTACCTGTCTGTCCGAAGTTGGCACACAATTCCCAGCACATCCACAACTCCCTCCAACTCCAACTGACGACAGCCGATTGTTGTGGCTATGAAACACCCCGTCCGACCAATTCCAGCACTACAAAAGTTCAAAGATCAATTAAATGGTTAATAATTGATTTTATGTTTGTATTGTAACTGAATTATGACTGTTTTTTACTATATTACATGAACAATACTGTGCATATCGTGCAATGGTAGAAAAGTGTTAACCGGTAGACAATTCGTAATTGCCTGGTAAGCTCCTGTACCTGCAATGTACAATAACCGGCCCACAGGATGTAAAGCCTCTCCTGTCCTCCTCAATATCATTCACTAACTGCAGCAGGGGTCCAGCACTCTCTGGGGTCTTATGGTCCGGCCATGAGGTATACCAGTAGTGCTGCACTTTACGACTCTGGCCTCCTTGCTGGGGATACAAAAACATTTGCTCCCTTACAGTATCTGACAATTGTATTTTTCAATCATTTTTCTAAAGAGTGTTTATCTTATAATGCAAATACCTTTAGTATAAGGGAGCGGATTATATAGTGGTCACATTCCTTCACATTATTAACAAAGACCTCCACCCTTCCATAGATCCCCCTCTTCTCAGGCCAGTACAGAACACATTTCTGAAAAAATAAAACAAAGTTTTGCACATCCACAGTCTATTTAGTCATACTAAGAACATTATAGATATTTTTATTGAAAATTACTTCGTTTTTCTCTTTCAGTTTAGTAATCATGATGATGACAGGGCAGTCCTCTTGCCAGACCATTTGCCAGAAGTCATTCACCGTGTTGATCATTGGACCCTGAGTGGCAATGAAGGCTCTCTCACCTCTAAGATAGCCCTGGATAGAAGAAGTGCTGAACGTAAACAGATTTAATAACATAACGGGGCTGAACTGTAAGTATAAAGAACCATCGGAGCCAAGTTAGACCAGCAAGACTCTCTTGGATACTTGGTTAATTTTGAGATCAAACTAAACTCTTCTCTTACAATGTTTCACTTTACAATCTCTGATGGTAGTAGAGATGGTAGTAGATTTAAGTTAAGTTAAGAGGACATTAAGTGGCTCTTTGTCATGGGCTATTGAAGAATTTGTGAGTGTATCACTGAAAATTGAACTTACTCTTATGTAGTTGGCATTAATGTAACTGCTGAGCAGGTCATTTGAGTTCTTAGTCTTCAGAATAACTCTGGAATGTGGATCTGAAATTAAATGTGAATTTTGTGAACATTTTTGTAGCATTCTATTCGATTCACCAGGTGCCCAGTAGGGCACAACACAAGGAAATTTAAAAAGCAAACAAACATTTTCAGCACAGTGTAAACAAGTCACAACAGAATCAAGCCAAAACAAAACAAATAAAATGACATCCTTCTGAACTCAATAGCAGTGTCAAAGCAGTGACATAAATTTTGTGTTTTGCTAAATTTGCTGCTTAAGCTGTTGTGGTGTTCATTCACATTGTTTCTAGATTATTGTGTAGAGTGATCAGATGCATTTAAAATAATTGCTAAAAGCTTCATTGGCCAAAAAAATGAACTTTTCACAAAAAAACGAATTTCACTGTTTTTTGATGCTGACACAAATGGCGCTTTTCCACTGCATGGTACGACACGGTACGGTACACTTTTTGGGGGTTTTCTACTGGGTACAGTACCTGGTACCTGGTACTTTTTTTAGTACCACCTCGGTTGGGGTTCCAAGTGAACCAAAACGTGACGTGTAAACTCTGCTGATCACGGATTGGCCGGAGAGAATCGTCACTACCTGTGTCGATGAAACTTGCGACACAAACACAAAAGAACCGCTAGATTTAAATCAGCACAGCCAGCGAAGGATCGAACGCAACTGTTTTGAACCGAGCGCACCTTTTTTTTAAACAACCAAAAAGTTTTGTTGTCTGTTGCGGAAGAACAGACGTTCCTCTCGTTGATAGCAGAGGAGCGGATCCAGCGAGAGCTTGATGGGGCGACGCAGAAAGAAAAAGTTTTTTTGAGGAGTCGTGGTAGTAGAGGCGGGGCGACTATAACGACATGTGAATAATCCCACCCACTCTAAAGCGGTACTGAACTGCAGGGGAACCGCAAACTGTGCCGAACCGTGCCGTGCCGTACTGAGCCGTGCCGAGCCGAGTCGTACCACGCAGTGGAAAAGCGCCAAAAATTACCAGCTAACATAATTGACTAATCATATCAGCAGCACATGTGAAAGTGTGAATGAGTACTAGTCAGGTAAAATCACTATCATACTAATTATATTATACATTATATACAATAATGTACCAACATTTCACTAGACGGTATCAATACCAGTAAAAATTGTATGCAAACCAGTAAAAATGTTGCAGTTCTCTGTTCCAAATTCAGCACCGTATCAAAAACTATTGGAATTATTTGATTTTAATAGCTTGCTTTACTATTTAAAAAATAAAAATGTAAATTAATTATGAATGCAAATAATAACCATCCAATCTTCTTTACATTGCATTAAAAAGCTCAATCTTTGTAGTCACTGAACCTGATTTCACTTACTGAAAGTGTGAAAACTCCTGTTATGATCAAAAAATATTTTTACACGGTAGAATAAAATCTTACTTACATTGTGTTTAGGTATGGTAATATTTGAAAGCAGTGCTTATCACCGGGTACTGAATTAACCTGGTACTCGGTACTACCAATACAGCACAACGGCTATGTTTTTAAAATTTCAGTATCGAATTGGTACCAAAGTATCAGTACTTTTGACAACACTATTAGCACTTTTATGGTGTTTATTGTCCTTAATGTTTAAAATATCACTGTCTGATTTCATTAGCATTTTTATGGAAAAGGGCAGCGTGATCATTCTTCAGAATGTCTCCTTTTTTGGTCCACAAAAGAAAAAAGTCATACGAGTTACATTATGGCAGAAAAATAATTTTCAATGGAAAAAAACTAAATCTGTCCTCTATACACAAGTTTTTTAACCACACCATCAAGCTATGCATTAAGCTGCTGCTGAATATACTCAACAATGCTGTCTTTCTGTGACACTGACATGGGAAAGGAAAGGAAGTGACATGTGTCCAAGTACGGTGTCTCATACTCAGAATTTGTGCTCTGCATTTTACACATCCAAGTGCACACACACAGCAGTGAGTAGTGAGCAAACAAACACACTGTAAACACACACCCAGAGCAGTGGGCAGCCATTTTTGCTGTGGCACCTGGGGGTTCGGTGCCTTGCTCTCACCTCAGTCGTGGTATTGAAGGTGGAAGAGAGAGCTGGTCATTCACTCACCCCACCTACAATCCCTGCTGGTGCCGGGACTCAAACCCGAAACCTTCAGGTTACAAGTCTGACTCTCTAACCATTAGGCCACGACAGCTCAAAGTGAAATGACATTGGAAATTCATTGGAAATTCTTATACTAACTTGGCAAAATGGTCTTGTATCTATTTTTTGATCCATGATTTGGGATATCCAGTTCTTTCTGATCCACAAAGTTCATTGGAATTTCCTGTGGATAAAAAAGTTACACAATCTGATCTAAGTACAATGGAAATTGTCAAACTGTCATAACATAAGCACTGAAAGATGCCTAACTGAACCCCAACTGTCTGTAATTCCCATGATTAAGAAAAGCCAACCTGAACCACATTACTGCTGAACTTACTTATTAGTGGTGCACTGGCATGTTACTTACGGCAAACTCTGCATGCAGCATCTGTGTGTTCAGTGTGATGTCACGAAGCTGTTGCCGTGAGAGGACCCGACCGGCTGACTGCAGGTATTCCTGAGTTGCACGCTCACGTGGGGTCACAACCCCACTACTCAAAGGCTCCACCGAACCCAAAGCACTCATGTCCAGCACCAGCGAGACATTAGATCCACGTCTGTATGAGACACAGAGACATATCAAAAATATGTGGGAAAACATTAACAAAACACAGTCAGGTAAGTGTGGTAGAACAAATCTACTTTTACTTTCACCTGCTGGCATAAGAAATAAAAAATTCATAGCCTAATTCTCTAATGTTTCACACAACAGCAAAAAGGGAAGCTATGACAGTAGATTATTGACTTCTGAAAAACAAAACAAGTGGGTATAACAAGGGTATATGCAAATATTGAGCCTAATGCTGTGTTCCATTTACAGTCGGATGTCGGAGATGGGAATTAAGTCACACCCAACTTCACGACGTTACATACACTAATTGGAAAACCAAGATGGGCATGTCTATTGATATCAGTACCAGTCAATAAAAACATTAAAAAACAGTACTTTGCACAGACACTGATGAAGTGTTGTCCACAGATAGAGGTTGGAGTTTGAGACACAGTCAAACAAAGATGCTAATAAACAATATTTTACTGCTGTTTCACTTCTGTTGATGCATTGAGCAGCCATATTGGATTCTGAAGTCAGGGTTGGTGCGGTTTATCCAAGTTTGCAATTCAGAACTCTGACTTGAGGGGGCGTTCAAGTGAAAAGTTGCTGCCTCGATGGAAATCTGCTCCTGTGTTTATATGTCCTGGAATGTGAACTGGGTCCAAAGCAAGGTATGCTGCACCAAAGTGAATATGGGATGTGAACGCATGCTTCAGACACCGTCACGTCAAAGGTGTTCCCCATAGCCTCAGCTCCTGATGCAGCATCGTGTTACCATGAAAAGGAACCTATAAATACAATCACTTGTAATGTGACCTAATTGCTTATTACTTTTAACTAATAGGTGGCACTGCCGATGTTTCAGTGTGGGTCACCAGTAGGTGACCAAAGTGTCATTGTGGGGTGATAATTACTAACATTAATTACGCATTGCAGAGATACAGCCTCAGATTCAGGTTTTCCAACATGCCATTCAACTCATTGATTTGTTAAATGATATAAGTTTGGTCTGGCAAAATAAAAGCCATAACTTTTAAACTCATAAATTAGGACCAATGTGGAGTTTGAGAAAGTAGGTTTTAAAAAAATTTCAGATGGGGGACAACATAATCTGCCAACAGTGGCATAATTGGTATCATTGTTCTCAGAATGACCCAAGGAATCTCATAACAACAGGTACAATTTTACATTTCATTATAATTTTCACCACAAGCTTCTAAGTTATTCCCATGGTGCCAGTGACACATACCAGGTTTCGTAATATGTTAATGTGTCTGTAAAATACAGTATTTTAAGGTAAAATGGCCAAAGGACAAAATTGCTCCCTGCTGAAAAAAAAACAATAGAAACCATCACAGAAATTCGAATGGTTTCTACTACAAATACTATTACAAACATTATAAACCATCAACTTTTAACCATGAAAAAATGGTTTCCTGTAGTGTGTTTTGGGACATATTCTATTAGGATTTAATGGTGTTAACAAGCCACCAATAGAAGATGACAAATTACCAGTAGAGACCAACAGGGACAATTATTTTCCATTTAAAACAATATAATTCCCATTATAACCAGTTAAAACCATTACAAATTCTGTGATGGTTTCTACTGTTTGTTTCAGCAGGGCTGCCATGAATAAAAAAATAGGTATTGATCAACTCTAAACCACACTAAATCAAACAAAAATTTTTTTTTTCATATTTCCTATAGGTGGCACTGTCCTAAAACTGTACCCTCCGGTTATGTTTATCATGAGCTGTACCATGTTTTGTTTCAATACAGCTAAGCACTATGGATATATTGGAGCACGGACCGTCAAATTCAATCCTGCAATATTTGAAAACGGTTTGACTAATCAAGTTGAATGTCATACATTTTTGTCAGGATGGTCTGAAGATGAATTGGCTGAACAGAAAAATTTTATGATGGAAAATTAAGTCATAGAGCTGGGGTTCTCAACTCTCGAGATCCATTTTCGTAAGCGTAACGGTTTAATGATCTACAACAAAACAGAGTTGAGATTTGGTGATAACTAAGTAAATATTTAATTACTATAATACTGATTTCTTGCTAAAGTAACATCAGAAGTGGAAAAAGTTGGTCAGAAACATACATTCACACACAAACTGACCACCAAACACAAATTTCAGACACCATCTTAATTTTTTTAGCTCAACTGTCACAGAATGTAATCCATAGGATTGTGGGATATCAAAGGCAGCAAAAGATCTATGCTACCTTCAAAAATCGATCAGATGTAGGCATCTCAGGAAACAGGAAGTGAATTCCTACTTTGGAACGCATCTCCCGAAGGCATTTTTTAGCATCCGGACGCAGCCTTAGTACAGGCGGGTGAGTTTGATCAAGGTTGGAGCTAAACTCTACAGGAAAATGGATCTCGAAGGGCCAGAGCTGAGAATACCTGTCATAGAGGGCTTGGTTATGTCATTAAAATCTAGTTGCTTGACAAGTTAAGATCTCTGAAGTCTCATATTCCATTATACCACACAAGAATCAATGATGTTTGGCATAAATCCTCTCATAATGTCACCTTGAAAAAAGCAGATTCTTCTAAAACTCTCCTTTACAAAAGGAGTTTACATAAAAATAACAGCATGTGAAATTGAAACAATATGAGAGTAAGTAAATAATGACTTTATTCCTTTTTGAATTAACTCCTCTTTTAAAGGGGTACTATTATGCTTTTTACACTTTCAACTTCCTTTAGTGGGTAATGTTGCTGTTTGAGCATGAAACAGATCTGCACAGTTACAAACCACAAAGTCCACTCCCAAGTGAGTTATTTTTCTATGTATCAGTCAGCACTGTTTCTGAACTGAAAGGAAGACTTACCGCTCTTGCAGGCCTGCAACCGACTTCATCCTAAAGGGTGAATGTGTGGAGGACACAGTGGGTTTGAGTTCAGCCACAGAGTGGCCGGGTGGGACGCTGGTACTGCGGACCTCTGATGTCGTCACGCTGGAATGGGTCTGATGGATGCTGATGTTACAGGACGGGATGCTTGTGCTGCTGATAGAATGGGTGGCACTGGGTTTGGATGTCTGGTTGGCCTGGACCATGCTGTTCTTGAGGGTCAGAGGGGGCTGAGCACCATGAACAGGGATGGGTGCCAGCTGTACGTCCCGGCTGGGCGGGGATGGGTCTTTAAGCTGATGATCCAAGAATTCCTTCTCCTTTATTCGGTAAAGCACCTGAGGAAAGGAAATATTCCTTTTTAATATGGATCTATTACTCGCAGCTAGTTTAATTCTCATTAAAAAAACTTGTCCAGGTCACCCTAAATCTGAAAAGAAATAATATTTTACATATAGAAAATTATCAAATATTTTTTATCACTCTCATGAATGACGATTGTCATTACTATAATAATGCTCCTATTTAATTCATTTTTTAGGTTCGCAAACATCTACTGTATTAATCAAATAAAACTTAGCGTAATAGGTCAGAAGAAGTTATAAGAATTCCTTTATTTATTAATTTTTTTTGGTGGGGGTGGTAGTGATGTAGCTTCATTTCAGATTTTTATTTTTTCCAAATTCAGTCTAAACATTTAATCCAAACACTTGCAGCAAGATACACTGCAAAAATTGTTTTTATTAAAATGCACTCAATACATTCATTTGTAAATTATGATATATTTATAAATATACAAATTAAGTAAATCAATTAATTATATTACTTAAATTATTACATTCACATATAATTCACTTGAACATATTACAATAATTTGTATTTTATTTAAATAATTTATTAATCCAGTCTTCACTGTTACATCGTCTTTCATAAAGCATACTAATATGCTGATTTGCTGCTCAAGAAATATTAATTTTTATTATCAATGTAGACCATAGTAGTGCTGCTTAATATTTTGTTGGAATCCATGATACATTACCATTCTAGTAACTAAGATAAGGGGGGGGGGAGTAATTAAAGAAACTTTTATTCACTAAGGACATATTAAATTGATCAAAAGTGACAGTAAAGACATTTTTAATGATACAAAGGTTTCAAATAAGTGTTGTCTTTTAAAGGGGTTTAAAAATCATACAATGTGATTTTCTGGATTTTTTTTTTTTATTCTGTCTCTCACAGTTGAGGTGTACCTACGATGAAAATTACAGATCTCTCCATTCTTTGTAAGTGGGAAAACTTGAAAAATCAGCAGTGTATCAAATACTTATTTGCCCCACTGTATATGCTCTTTTACAAACTCTTGATTTTGTTTTGTGGGTGTTTTAGAACAGGCTCTCATACTAGGTTGTTCGAAAAACACATTATTTTTCACATATTTTACATTATTACAACACCTCTCTCCCCAGTCTGGCATGAACGGCTCGAATAGTTCCTGTATCAAATTAAGGCTTGCTTTCTGAAATACGAAAGGTGCTGTGATTGGTTAGCAGGGCCAGTGTGTGCTGTGATTGGCTCCACTCGGCGCCTGGTTCGGAAATGCCACGCCCCTTACCATAGCCGCCTGCGAGCTTCAGTGTAAATATTGCGTCAAAATCAAATCAATTTGAGCGCGATTTAAACCCGGATGATTGTAACCACTCTAAGTTCGTCTGCCTTGGGAAAGCTAGCGTGTCTCCGACATAGTGATAACACTCGTTGCCTTCTCTAGTGCAGCTCAACCAGGTCTCATCCCATTCGTCGATATTTGTGATATCACAAATCCCGGAAAATATGCGTTGTAGTCCAAACGAGTCGTTCGTTGTAGTTTTTGAAAAAGTAATGTCTGTTAAATAAAATATCTCCTTTTGAAGTGGACTTTGAGCTTTGTAACTTTGCAGATCTTTTTTATGCTCAAACAGCAACATTACAGACTAACTAAAGTTGAAAAAGTGAAAAAGCATAATAGGACCCCGTTAACTTTTTATTCATCAAAAAATCCTGGGAAAAATGCATAATGGCTCCCACAAAAATATCCCACAAAAACAATGTTTTCAACATTGATAATAATAAGAAACTTTATAAATTATTTAACACCATTAAGAACTGATAACAACTGGGCATGAAATATGCATATTAGAATGATTTCTGAAGAATCATGTGACACTGACAACTGACGAGCTTTGAAGAGCAAATACATAAAAAATATGAATTATTCCAAACTTTGTATACATATTTTATATTATTACTTATAATTACATATAATTAGAAGATTCGTCTACCAGATTCACGTCAGTATGTTTATAAAGTAGGTCAAATTTCCTGTAATCCACAGTTGACTGTTAAGATCTCACAGGACATTTCATCACACTATCTGAACTACAGAACACTTCCTCATCACTACTTGCCTCTAAATGTTTCCCTTCCTAACCTCAACCGCCTTATTGCTGTTACTAGCATTGCTGCTCTTAACCACATTCAACAGCTTAGCCGTCCGTTTTATACCCATGTAAATCATTCATTACATGTACAAGACATGGTTGCTCTATTAAGGAAAAACAAGAAATAAAGTAACACTTTATTTTAAGGACCAATTCTCAGTATTAACTATTTGCTTATTAGCATACATATTACTGGCATATTGGCTGTTTATTAGTGCTTATAAAGCACATATTAATGCCTTATTCTGCATGACCATATTTTAGATCCCTCAACCCGACCCAATACTAATACTAATAATAATAATACGAAGCAAATTAGGAGTTTATTGAGGGAAAACTCTTAGTTAATAGTGAATATGTGTTCCCTAATCTAAAGTGTTACCTAAAATAATAATACAACAATAATACAGTTACTCTACTTTTACTATTTACAAAAAGGTGCAATTAAAATGAGAATTAATTGGGAGTTTTCTGACTTAAAATGACTAAACTAGATTTATTAACCCTATTATCATACTTATTTAAAGGGGTCCTATTATGCTTTTTCACTTTTTCAACTTTAGTTAGTCTGTAATGTTGCTGTTTGAGCATAAAAAAGATCTGCAAAGTTACAAATTTCAAAGTCCACTTCAAAAGGAGATGTTTTATTTAACAGACGAGGACAAAAAGCAGTTTTCACAATTCACACTCTCACAGCGATTCATGACTGACACCTAAAAACTTAAAGGGATAGTCATTAATTCTCAATATATTCTTTAAGTCATGCTGAGAACATCGATACCAATTATGCCAAAATTGGCCAAATTCCTGTCCGTCATTTTGATTCATGTTGAAAACCTACTTTTTCGAACTCCTCCTAGACCGTTGGTCCGATTTTCACCAAATTTGACTCGGATCATCTTCAGACCATGTTGGCAAAAAGTTATGGATTTCGTGTCGATATACGAAACCGTTTTCGTACAGCGCTGCTACAAATTTTAGGCATGGTGCCAAAATGACTAAATAATAGTTCCAACGAAATCCGTATCATCTGGTGTACATCCCCAAGCAACATACAGCAGTGTTTCGTTAGTGAACGAATCTGCGGCTTTGAACGATTTGGAGAGTCAGTGATTAATAACCCATTAATAACTACAGCATTTTGCTTCGTTACAGAATAAATGAATGAATGAATGAATGAATGAATGACGTGACGCCTGGCTCATTAAGACAACGACTTGCCGCCACCTACTGGCGGTTTTATTTTTAAATCTACTGTACAAGTATCACTTCGATTTGCCATAATTTATTGCTTTATTTATTATATTAATAATACAGTGTTTCGTTAGTGAACGAATCTGCGGCTTTGAACGATTTGGAGAGTCAGTGATTAATAACCCATTAATAACTACAGCATTTTGCTTCGTTACAGAATAAATGAATGAATGAATGAATGAATGAATGACGTGACGCCTGGCTCATTAAGACAACGACTTGCCGCCACCTACTGGCGGTTTTATTTTTAAATCTACTGTACAAGTATCACTTCGATTTGCCATAATTTATTGCTTTATTTATTATATTAATAATACACTTAATGGAATGTTAAGAATATGACATAAAACATGACATACAATTAATAAGGATAGAAAATATTTGCCTCTATAAAGGTAAAAAATGCACCTGTAAATCAGTTTAAGGGGGCAAATATTGTCCTTTAATAGAAAAGGTGTGACTGCGGTCTAAATGGAAGAGAGGGGTACGCAGAAGAATGTTAAGTGCCCTAGGGGGTATGCCGCTGTAAAAAGTTTGAGAACCACTGCTCTATGCCATGCTTAGCTCCTTAATTTGCCTCTGTAGTGCTTGGCCTCTTAATTGCTGCTTGCAGCTGTATTTTATTTAACAATTCTCCTCCCCCGACTTACGTCTTCCGCCATTTTGGAGAGTACCCAATGTAATCAGAGTTTTTTACGTTCGAGGGGGAAAGCGCGCACATGAACGTAATCAGCATTGTTTACGCTTAGGGTGAAGCGTGCGTATGCATTGTGATACTCTCCAAAATGGCGGAAGACAGTAACCCGGGGAGAAGAATTGTTGAATAAAGTCATTATTTTTGTTTTCTTTGCGCACAAAAACTATTCTCGTAGCTTCGCAAAATTGAAGTTGAGTCACTGATGTCACATGGACTGTTTTACTGATGTCCTTACTACGTTTCTGGACCTGGGAACATTACAGTTGCGTTGCTGTCTATGGAGGGTGAGAGAGCTCTCAGATTTGATCAAAAACATCTTAATTTGGATTTGGAACGACATGAGGGTGAGTAATTAATGACAGAATTTTCATTTTGGGGTGAACTAACCCTTTAAAACTACCATATAATGCAGATTCTTTGTTAATGTAGAAAGTTAGAAATGTCATGAAATTTCACATTCATACAAACTATTTATATGTTTAAGAATATATCATTTTTGACAAAATAGGTAGCATTCTAAAAGTATTCTAGCCAGCCATGTAATGTTTATAAATGACTTATTAATGAGCGCTATTATAAAATGTTACTCAACAATTAAAAATACTATAACAAATGCCTTCTGTAATAAATAAAAAAATGTAAAAAAAAATTGTTCAGGGGTTTTCAATCTTTGAAGAAGTTTAAACTTTTATTTTATTAGTGTGAAGCGACTTTGAAACAATTTGTATTGTATGAAGTGGTATATATAAAGATGACTTGACTTTTACCAAAGTTTCTTACTTCTCATATGTTTTTTTTCCTGAGAAAGACCCCAGTATTCCCACATCAGAAGTCAGGCATCTCAATACGAACTCAAATATTTCTCCTCAGAATCTGTCAAGAGTTGTCATTTTGAAGTGTTAACAACTATCTACTCATTTGAATCTATTGGTATTTCTATGAAATAATTTTAGGAGAAACTTCTGAAGCAAAGTTGAAAAATGTATCAATGCATAGTCAACACCATGCACATATATGCTTTTAAAGGGTTGTATCTTCCCACATAGCATCACATACTATGAAAATCAAGCATATGGTAGAAGACTTTGAGAGATACATACCATTAAACAGGTGAAGATGATGATGAATATTGTGAGGCAGATGACCAGCACATAGAAGCCGTCTTTACCCCAAATGCTGTTCTTCTCATGGTGGTCTTTGAAAACAGTCTTCTGCTCAAAGCCAGACAGAAAAGAACATTAACAGTCTAAAAATCCCACAATGTCAAGCAGATCTGCAGTGCTACATCAGGCGTGAGGTTTGAGAGTCCTAATATACATTTATACTGTGCTTGAGTAAAAGTGATACAAGGATCAACGAGTGCGATCTTAAGGAAGACATTGACATTGGGCTAGACAGAAGCTGACTCCACCCCTAAATCTGCCCACACACACACACACACACACACACACACTGGATGACACGTCCTGCAACACAAATGCACCTGTACTTGGGTAGCTGACAGCAGGGACCTGTGAGGTAACGTGCTATATTCAGTTTAAAAATATTTTAAACATTATCATTAATGATATCATATTAATGGAGAAACTACATAAATAATTGTACTTTGTCATACTGCAAAATTTGTCAAAAAGAATATTTTACAAATAGTGGAAAAACACTACAATAATTGTATAATTAATAATGTACATTGCATTATATTATATTATAAACATCATTAGCACCAAATATGCTATATGATGCATTATGATGTGCTAAAATGCATTATACCCTTTATATTATAAAAAACTGCTTCTCCAATTGAGAAGTAAACATTGTGTCAGTGCTATTTTAGTATAGTTGATATACTATTGTAGTTTTCATTATTATTGTTTTCACTTAAAAGTTTCAGCTAAAGTTTTTGTAATTTTGTTGTTTTGTCATTTTTATTATTTTTATTTTTAAATGCTTATATAGTTTTTATCCATTTTTATTTATTAGTTTTAGTTTATAATTGTAGTTAGTTTAGTACTTCCAAGTTAAACTAAAAACAATTAGAAATGCTGCCTTAGAAACTAGGTGAAATATGTAAATATTTTATTTTATTTCAGTTAGAATTTTTAAATGAGAAAATATAAATGTTTAACCCCTATGTAACCCCTTAACAGTCATTATATTTTGTATAACCTTCTTTAATTTTTTTATTTACAATAATTATATGTAAACCTGGACCACAAAACTAGTCATAAGTAGCAAGGGTATATTTGTAGCAATAGCCAACAATACAGTGTATGGGTCAAAATTATAATTTTTTTTAATGCCAAACATCCTTAGGATATTAAGTAAAGATCATGTTCCATGAAGATATTTTGTAAATTTCCTACCGTAAATATATCAATTAATAACTTAATTTTTGATTATTAATATGCATAGCCAAGACCTTAATTTGGACACCTTTAAAGGCAATTTTCTCAATATTTAGATTTTTTTTCTTTGCACTCTCAGATTCCAGATTTTCAAATAGTTGTATCTCAGCCAAATAATGTTCTATCCTAACAAAAAAATATTGGGACTCCTGGGCTATGAAGAAGAAAGACATTTTGGTGGTCAGATTTTTTTTTATTTCAAAAACTTTTTGAAACATTAGAATAGTGTCAGAATGAGTACCAGGGGCCTCCAAAGTCTCAGACAACACAGTTCAAGACAGCCGAAGGAAGCTGAAAAGCTGGACATACAGCACAAATGGTACAAGCTTATGATGGCTCTCATTACGGCCCACTGATGCAAATTGGACAGGTTTGCCAGAAAAGGTCAATACGTAGGAGGCAGGACTGTTACTCTGCTACCATTTTTAGTCACCTAATGCTATGCAATGCAACAAATTAAGCGTTAGCGTTAGTTCTGGCAGGTCACGTGAGTCAAGCTTGCATCAGCTGATTCTCAGCTGATCACATCTACCTATAGCAGGGGTGGCGAACGTCGGTCCTGGAGAGCCGCAGCCCTGCAGAGTTTTGCGTCAACCCTAATCAAACACACCTGAACAAGCTAATCAAGGTCTGAAGGGTTACTAGAAAGCTACAGGCAGGTGAGTTTTAATTAGGGTTGGAGCTGTACTCTGCAGGGCTGCGGCTCTCCAGGACCGGAGTTCGCCACCGCTGACCTATAGGAATACGACACCTATCACGGCATTCCTATATAAACTCTATTCATTATTATTCAGCAGCTTTTCAGATTCAGCAGCTTTTCAGCTTGCTCAGGAGCAAATTACCCTTCTCCATCCCCAGCTCCTCCTTTCGCTACAGTCAGGACTGGGCTTTCTGATATTCCTGGCTAATCAGACTCCTTTATCTTGAATAAAGTGTTACACTTAAATATCATTAAGTACATTAATGATACCTGCCTTGTTCTGTTCTGTTAACCCTAGGGGGGTTATTATTGCTGCTCTCCTTGCTCATTAATGACAGGCTGCATGGATGGGCAGGGAGGTTTTTGCCCAGAACAGAACCATACCGCCAAACCAAACTTTATGCTAAGTATCTATCATTTTGACGATAGTGGTCCTGACAGAACTGTATGTTACGCAGTTTTACAGCTGACTGTAACTTCATCCTAGAGCTGTTGAGAAACAAACCTCAGCGGATGCTTCAGTGGTGGCAAGCGGCCCAGAGCTGTGGTGAAGGGGGTTGATGTTGAGCAATCGGATCATGTCCTCATGAGCCACAGGTTCTGATGCTCCAACAGACGACACATACAGCTCAATGTCATCATTCTCCTCCTAAAAGCATGAAGAACGGTGCATGAAGGATATGCTTTACAATTAGACAACTGAAGTCAACTGAACAGTTTTCATTTACATGTTTTAACTGTTGTAAGAACTTTAATTTCTGGATTTTCTCGAACAATAACAAAGTATTTTAATGTTTCAAATATGTTATTACATTTAATAAGTAAAAAATCTGAGAATATAACAGCTTCACTGTAAATGACAGTCACAAAATGAACAATCCAGAACTTTATGGCAACATCCCTTGCATCATGAGGATGGATTTTGTAGAGACAAACACCACTCACATTTTGTTTAGGAAAATGAACAAGAATAGTATTAATTGCTTTGCTGGACAATAAAAAAAATCTTAAAATCCAATAAAATCTGACTACAGCTAGACTAACAAGACTTCACAGTAAGTATGTTACTGACTGCATGTCTACACAGGACTAAATACGGGTCAGAAGTGACTGGGGATTGTGCTCTCTGGTGGTGTGAGCAGAAGCTACAACATCAGATGTTAGAGGAACACTGACACCAAAGATCACAAGAAACCTTTTGAAACAAATCTTTCATTGACTGTGTCTCCCAAACCACAAAGGGAACTGAGAGAAGCAAAAGAACAGGGACAACCCTGTGTGATGCAATAAAAGATTAAACGTTTGCATGACTTTAAAGGCCTTGTATAATAAGGAATCACAATTTCCTTGATCTTTTGAGATAAAAGATCATTGAACATTGAAAACAATGAAATATTGTAACTTTCAGAAGTCAAAACTTCCACCTCAGTCAAAAAACTCTTTTACTGAAACTAAGGGGTGACAACGATTCGTTCTTAACTTCTGTGGCTTCCTGATGTCAGACAGTATATATATATATATATATATATATATAAAATATACACTAATATATATATATGTAATATATATAAATAATTTTTGAGATAGTCATTTAAATGGTTGTTATAAATATTTGTTTATATTCTACACAAATGTATAATGTATTTATAATTTTGGCAATATGATTCTATAGAGACGCTTTTATCTTCCTGAGGTAAATGTCACGTAGCTGACACATTCTTCACAGGGTGTTATACTGATGATATCCCTAGTTGAAACAGCTTATAGGCACAGAAATGTACATTTTCCGATGTACATTTCATGTTATAACTTGTATTAAAGTGAACAAATACAAATACATGCTACTATTGCCTGAGGCAGGTAATGCGATCTATCCCAGACTACATTAGACTTTGGAAACTTTATTTGTTTTTTCCAAGTTTGTTCATAAAAAATGCCTTTAATTCAAAGACGTAGAATTTAGTAGGGGCGCAACTGGATTTTTCCTAGCAATAATTTTGATCAAACAATTAAAATATATTTATATGTAACCACTGTTGTTGTCATCATACCACGGACAGTACCTGAGAAGTTAAAAGTAAATACGTCAGCAAACTGCGCTCTTTCAAGGATGTGCATTTAATGCATGGCCAAAGTAAGAATATAATCTGTTTTTAAAACATGCAAAGTAGGATTGCCAACTGTTCTAGTATTTAAGTAACATTCTATATTAAATCCATATGGAAAGCAGTTTATTGTGTCACGCCCAGTTTAGGGAGATAAACACTGAAAAAAAACACAAGAGCACCCTTAGTTGAAACTGTAATAACATATTTGGCAAACTCTTCTGTGCATATCTGCATTTGCGCTCCGGAGAGCATCAGATGTTTCTATTTACTGTGTAGCTAATCACAGACACGTCCATTGAACCGATGAACTGAGATGAGTGACAGGCTCAGTACATTTGAAATTATTTTTCATGATGTTAAGAGGAACAATGTCCCCTCACTAAAGTTCAGCTATAGTTGTTATTCTATATAAAAGCTAACATGAGTCTCAGACATGAACATATTTGCTTTGCTCAATCCATTCATGTACAAATTATTTCTAAAAAGAATTATATTTATTTTTAGAATTAATTTGTTCATGAATGGAGTAAGCAACGCAAATATGTTTATGTCTGAGATTCATTTAGGCATTTATCTCTGTACACACAGGCTAAATAACGGAACAAATATTTTGACTGTCCCTTATACTGGGCTGATTGTACTTTATTATTAAGTATATACTTATATAATTATTACAATATGACAATATTTTTGGTGAGTTTATAATGTAATACATTTCTCATAATGTAATAATTGTTATTACATTATGAGCTCAAGATTTTATTACGTTTTGAGAAAATTATTACATTATGAACATTTTATTACAATAATAATATAATACTTATTACATTATGTGCAATTTTTACATCATGTGCAGTTATTACATTATGGGTTGCTACACATGGACATGAAAAAATAGATTAATTCAAAGTTAATAAATTCTCAGTTAATAAATTATCATTGTTTTGGGGATAAATAAAATAACAGAAAAATTCTAATATGATTAATGATAAACAGTTATATGATATAAGATTTTAAATATATAAAAATTATGTATAATTGCACATAAAATTATTATAAAAATCGTCTCAGGTTACGTATGTAACCCTAGTTCCTCAAGGGAACGAGATGCTGCGTCGGAAACGCTAGGGGAACGCCCTTCAGCGTGACGGGCTCTGAACCTCGTGTGTAATCAGACCAATAGATGGGCGAGATGTCACGGCGGGTGACGTAATGACCAGTTGGACGCAGCTGCCATCAGACCCAGCAGTCTTTAAAACTGCCTGACAGTGAGTGACTGGCCTTCTTTCACTCTCTCGACTGTAGTGAGAATCGACTCAATCCGAGCAGGAGACAAACGTGCCTGCATCGTGGTCGAATCCCACACCACACCCAGATAAGTGGTCCTCTGTAATGGAGCCTAATTTAGTCTTAACCCCAGCTCTCTCATGTGAGCGAGAACGACGTCTCAAAAAAGTCAGGTTAAGGATAAGAGGAGCATGGTCCGTTATGATAATCCTTTGATATGCACAGGATTGAACTCTGGAAATTAGGGCGTTATCCAAGATGAAATAATCAATCCGAGAGTAAGAATGATGGACATTTGAAAAAAAGGAATATTCTCTTTTTTAGGGATTCAGAAATCGCCATGCATCTGATAGGCCATATTCAGAAAAAAATACTTTTTAGGTAAATAGAGGATTTACTTGGCGCACATGGTTTAGAAGACGAACGGTCCAACACTGGATCAAGACAGCAATTAAAGTCTCCCCCAAGTATAAGCGAATGAGAATTTAGATCAGGAAGAAGAGAGAGAGCATGTTTGAAAAAACTGACATCATCGAAATTAGGGGCATAAAAATTAGCTATAATTAAATTCTTATTGCCTAAAGTGCCCGAGACAATTATATAACATCCATTCTTATCTGAAATAATATCATTTGGACTGCCCTCATGAGTCCTGGGCCAGTGGCGTCAGGACTTTTTGGCCGAGGACCTCTTAGTCTTAAGTACGGTCCGCAGATCCGGCTTAGACTTTGAGGCCCCCGACCTAGAGCGTCGCCTCGACCCACTGTCACGACACGGGGGAGTAGGTGAGGCCACGCTCTGTTTTTCTGTTTTTGTGCATTGCTGACCGCCTCAACCCCCTCAGAGGAAGAGAGGTAAACACCTGCTCTCACTCGAGAAAATTTATTTATTTTTTCCGAAGTGCCTCTGTGTATCTAACTTCTCATAGTCAGAAAATACTTCATTTTATTCCTCAGAATTAAATGCAGTCAACAAACAGAGGGGTAAATACAGCAAATGGCTGTCCTCTCAAATAGTGCACTATATAAAGGTATAGGGGGCAATTTCAGACACAGACAAGGGTTATATTCAGTCAAACCAAAATTTATTCAGACACCTTCAACATTTCTCACATTATCAGAGTTTATTTGCTATAGTTTAGAAAATGGTAATAAAATACGACAAGAACTTGATGAACAAATTAATGTTGTTAATGTCAGATAACTTTGACAGAAAGGTATGCAATGAATTAGGTTGAATAGCTGTCAGCTGTTACATTTAACAATACAATTAGATAATACCAATTTAGGTCAACCAATTACCAAGCAATAAAAGTAAAAAGTGTAAAAAGTTTGCATTAGCAATTAAAGAAAAAACACTTAAACAAAACATGGTCAGGTCAAAGTGTCTGAATAATGTTTGGTCCCAAATTTTTATAAATTTAACTGGTATCGATATATATATATATATATATTTCACTTACATAAACGAATTATAGTGTCCTGCGCTCACTAGTAAAATAATATCAAAAATTATATCTGGTGTCTGAATAATTTTTGGTTTGACTGTATATATCCACCTTATTCCTGACAAAGTTTCTAAGTTTTGAATTATAGGTGGCACTTCCGGTTTGGGGAACTTTCATTCAAAAAGACTGAAATTAATCATTTCAAATCATAAGGTTGCCCTACAAATAAAGCTTATCCGTGTCTGTTTGACTGAATGAGCTATCAATTTTTCATTCATGTTTTGTTTTCTGAAATCTTAAGAATAACTTGGTATTTTAACGTGACATTTTATTACAAGAATATCTACGGCAAGAGCTCTTTTCAGTCGCTGCATTCTTTTCCTCATGATTATTTTCTTTTTTCCCTTTGCATTCTGCTGTAATAGTACGAAAAATGACAACATATACTGCGCATTTGTGGTTTGTTCTCCCGATTTAATTTACAATATATCCTATTAATAATTCACTCGAATGCACAAAGAATCTCCTCAAATTCTCACGTCTCTTTCCAGGTTTGTTTGTTTTCACAGGTAAATACAATTTATTATCTGTCAAAAGGACGGAAATTACTTTGAAATAGTATCACGCAACGAGGAAGTTCATGAAAATTTCTGGTTAAGGCAACGTATTTTACCCCTTACGAAAATTAACCATGGTTTTCCACAAATAAAATAAAAAAACCATGGTTACTAGTTAAACTGTGGTAACTACAAATTAACCATCGTTTTGCTACACTAATCATAGTTTAACCATGATATTTGTAGTAAAACTGTGGTTAAACAAATGCAAGTAATCAATATGCCAAAAAAACATGGTTACTACACTTTTACTATAGTAAAAACATGGTTAATTTTTGTAAGGGACGTAATACAGATATATATTACTACAGTGATATTTCACCAGTCCGTTATTGCTGTGGAAAGAATCACGCTTTTGGGGTTATTCATGGTCTGTTGAAAGTACCTTGTTTATGCTTTTACACTTTTAAATGTCATTTTAATGTTCGATGGCTGAAGGGTGAGTAGAATCATCTCATCTCATTGTACACAGTTAAAAAAAAAAAAGGTAGAGTGAACCATTCACTGATTATTTACAGCTTAACGAAAGTTAAACCCATAATTTGCGCAAACCGTCATGGGGTGTAGAAATAAAGTGGATACTCAAGGGCTATAAAGACACAAGTGCAAACCATGAGGACCTAATGAGGGAAAGCAGGGACAAAAGGCATCTACAAAGTCAACATAACAAGAACAGGACATACATGACATAAACAGGGTTGATGTTGATTTTATGTTGACTTTAATTACCACCCACACTGAAGTAGCTCTCAAACCTGCATTCATTTTGACAGGCAAATTGAAATGACCTTTTGGGTACTGAGCACATCCCGTATTAAGCTTCACCGGCATTAAAGCAAATAAATATATAAATGTGTGACTCTCACAGGCAGTGCTGTGCTCTGAAGTGGTGATATATGTGAGCCGTGATTTATTTTTTTGGACACCTCGTGGGAGTAGGGAAGCTTCCAGAGGTCTCACATCAGGTGCATTAGTGTAATTGGCTTTGAGGGTAAGAGAGTTCATCTCCCTCCATCATAAAACACATTCCCATCACTGTGATACTCTGTGGTTCAGGAGTGGCTTAACAAGAGGAATACGACAACTGTAGCCAAATTCCTTGACACGTCTGTGTGTGGTGGCTCTTGATGCCTTGACCCCAGCCTCAGTCCATTCCTTGTGAAGTTCACTCAAATTCTTGAATTGATTTTGCTTGACAATCCTCATAAGGCTGTGGTTCTCTCGGTTGGTTGTGCATCTTTTTCTTTCACACTTTTTCCTTCCACTCAACTTTGTTAACATGCTTGGATACAGCACTCTGTGAACAGCCCGCTTCTTTGGCAATGAATGTTTGTGGCTCCTTGTGAAGGGTGTCAATGATTGTCTTCTGGACAACTGTCTGATCAGCAGTCTTCCCCATGATTGTGTAGCCTAGTGAACCAAACTGAGAGACCATTTTGAAGGCTCAGGAAACCTTTGCAGGTGTTTTGAGTTGATTAGCTGATTGGCATGTCACCATATTCTAATTTGTTGAGATAGTGAATTGGTGGGTTTTTGTTAAATGTGAGCCAAAATCATCACAATTAAAAGAACCAAAGACTTAAACAACTTCAGTCTGTGTGCATTGAATTTATTTAATACACGAGTTTCACAATTTGAGTTGAATTACTGAAATAAATGAACTTTTCCACGACATTCTAATTTATTGAGATGCACCTGTACACATACACATCACTCAATCTGGTATGTATAGACAGTTGCCAAATGTTCAGTGCCAGACGCAATGTCAAATCTAAGGCAAGTATATCTAGTGTTATTAATTTGCCTAAAGTACCATACAAAACACCTAAAATCATGCAAATTATTGCGGAAAGATGCATTGTTACTTAATTCACCCCATCTGTTTTCTAAACATATGACCTCATAAATGTTTAATCAAAATGTCTAAACTGAATTTTCCAGTGAAAACATCAGACGCATACAGGACACCTACATCAAGATCCAATCAACAATCAATAGGGCCTTTCGCACCGCTTTAGTTCCAGAACTAAATGTACAGTACTAAAGTACTGGGACGATTTAGCGTGAACTATTTCCCAGTACCATTTAAAGGGTTGCATTCGCACGGACAGTGTACGTAAGACGGTCGACAGACAGTGACGTCATTTGTGCGTGGCGTTCAACAATGGAAACAAAGAAGAACAACGTTAAGAACAGGAGGATGGAGGACGCTGTCTCGCGGGTTTCACAATAATGAACATGAAATGTCGACGTATAGGCTACGTAAAGCGATTGAAAGAATGGGAAGGAGGACTAAGAATCTCCAACGACAACTGGCAGTGCTACATTTGATACAAGTGCATGCACTTCAGCATCCGTTCATCTATCGCTGTTCTCCATACTTGCGAAATAAGTTGACACAATGTTTACAGTATGTTTACACAGCGTTTTAAATCATGGTGGGTGAGGGCGTTTTCGTACACGTTTGGCCAATCAATGTCTACTTACGTCACGGGTAGTACCAGTTGTGCTGGTTAGACCCTGGTTAGTAGGAGCTAATTTGGTTCTCGAAAAAGGCAGTCCGGTATCAAAAAAGCACCCAGTTCCGGCGATGCGAAAACGGCAAAAAGTGGGCAGTTTCACAATTAGTTCTGGTACTATGAAAAGGTTCCCGCGGTGCGAAAGGCCGTAATGTAAGCCTTTGGGATTTTTTTCCTGTTTTATTGTCCACTAGGTAAAAAAAAAAATCATAAGTCTGATGACTTAAAGTCACAATGAAACCAAATAGTGGCAGATGTTTTCTTCTGTATTGTGACATGTGTCCGAGTGTGATGGATCATTGAAATTATTGAGAACTGGTTCTGATGCATTGAAAGAGGGACCAGAGCCATATCTAGAGACCAGCAAATCACTGAGACTCAAGGGTGGACTCCTTTCATGCCAAGACAGCTATAATCAAACTAAAAACCCAGGGATGCATTTCCCAAAGGTATCGTTGCAACTATGGATGCAAGTTTCGCCATTAGCAACACAATTGAACAATTTAGTGTTTTTCTGAAATCAACATTCGTAAACAGCATTGCAAAGTCGACTTGTGGTAAAAGAGTAGTTTCTTGCAAGTATGACATGTGGACTTTATGCAAGTATGACATGTGGACTTTAATTTTGTAAGCAAGCTAACATGCATTATAATCAATATATTTCATTCCATATATACCCTAAATACATTTTACGCCTATTTGTCGAGAGTGTGCTCGAAGTAGCCATCAGACAGCATGTTCGTTATTTACAGCAATAATCTAACTTTAATTCGATTTCAAATCGGTTATTACTTCACCTGCATAACGACATTCTATAATGTTGAACCAGCATTGCACGAACAACGGATATGCAACAAAGTAACAGTTGTGAGTAGTTAATTTCTCCTATATTATGGTAGTTAAGCAGCCAGTTTCGTTGTTGGAAATGCACCCCTGAACAACTAACAACAACCGAACATTCTCAACAGCCTAGCAACCACTTAGTATCAATGCCAGCACATTGCAAGCATCGTCTAACTACCTGTTTTTGATCACGTTAGTAACATTCTTAGTCTTAGTGATGTGCAGGAGGTGTAAGTTCGGGAAAAATAAGTATGAATAATTATCAATTACTTATAATGTTGAATGGCTGTAATTACTCATTGTTTGCCAAGATAGAAAAAAAATCACTCATAGTAGGCTACTTAGTAAAGATGTTTTATTAAACAAATATTTAAAATATTTTTTTAAAAAAAATTTAATTTTACAGATATGTGTGTGTCTTTAAACATTTGCGCTGGCCAGTCACCTCATCCAACCCATTTTCTTTATTAATTAATTCAACACCCCAGGCTTCTACATTTTTGTACTACAATCTCAAAGCAACCAAAAAATCACAAGTTGTGTAGGCGCTCACCATTGTGACCGTATGGTGGGCAGATACAGGGTTGTTCTCCACACGGTCAATGTTTTGCAGGAAATTGACATCTGATCGCCTCTGTGGAGTTCTCTGGAAATGGGATTCTAGAAACACTGCGGACATCAGCTTTGCCACCCGTCCACGGGACTGGGCCTGAAGCAATTCCCCATTAAATCCTAAAGCCTTTTCCTGACTGAGAACACCCATGTGCTGGTATACAGGGCCAGTCAATCCATTAGCCATGCGCCTATGCGGTATCTGATAAACTTCATCGTCTACAGAGATGCCCCCTGAAATACAAACAGAGTTTCACATCATAGCAGTTACTTTATAATATCTGGAATAGTCTATTGACCAATTACAGTGCAGGATCACAACTTATATTGTTTTTGCATATTGCTTACAAAGTTGGCTTCAGTTGGCTTATTTTGTAAATATGCATATGAAAAAAATCTGAATAACAATATCAATAAATCAAAATTGTAATGAAATCGGACAGGCCGCTTGCTAAAGAGCAAACCATCTGAGTGCAAGAATGTAAAACACCTAGTGACCATGCATCAAGGAAACAGATATTGATGTCCAATACAAACATGAAGCTTGGACCACTTGGAGCCAACAAAATGAGAAACCAAATGAAATAAATGACCTTCACTCTTAAAATAAAGGTTCTTTATTGGCATTTATGGTTCCATGAACCATCCATGGAAACCTTCTTTTGCACAAGAGGTTCTTTAAATGTTTTTTCAGATTACTGAAATGTCCTTAATAGTAAGAAAAAATATTTTAAGAACTGTTCACTGAGAGCTTCTTTAGGGGAACCAGGGGAACCCCCCTTATTTTTAAGAGTTTCGATGGACCCAAAGATGACTATAAAGCTCATGGGATAGCCAACTTAACGCCAAAATGTAAAGTCTATCATGATTTACCCATCATCATGCCCTTCCAAACCAACCCGCCCTTTTTTGATTTTTCAAATGTATAAATAAAACATTGATTATTAGAGTAATCAAAATGTCAAGTTTCATTCATTGTGTTACTTGCCGTTTCTTTGTAATTGTTTGCGAAATGTAGGCTACTAGCAATTTCTGAGTGACAATTGTTTCTACAACATTTTCTTAGTGCACTCAAGTCAGTCTAAATAAATAATTACTGCAAATGATTTAATATGTTAAGTGCTAGATAAGTGAAGTAAGATATATTTAAGCCTGGTATGAGAAGCATAACCATAATTATGGAGTGTAACCACATGCAATATCAATTAAAGTAATGCTGTATGAGCATACACAGGGACAATACTGTAAAAATGAATATGTGCATAGCTATTTCTAGTGTACCTGATCTAAGCTTCAGAAATGATTGTGCTTGGGTGCATTATTATTCATTTTAGCACTGACTGACAAGAATATAAACATTTCCCTGTCGAATAAAGTGCACTGTGTTTATAGATTTCATTTACCCCTTCAAATGATCCCAATGCCCATGTTATTAAACGCACACCATGTAATTCGCCAAATAAACGCCCAGTTCACTCATTACAATGGCAAATAAGGAAATTATTATAGCAGGAATTTATACAAACAGACTATATCGATATTGTTTATAGCCTCACCCGTGACGTGCAATCCCATCAATGAAGAAATAACGACTATTGCCGTGTTCACGAACATGATTCTTCTTCTTGTACTACAAATACATTATGGCTTTATGAAACTCAGTCGAGGTCGCAGTGTCTCTATGGTTAAGACACCGAAACGATGGCTGTTTAATACAATAATTCTGCATCTGCTGAGGATCACACACCCCGATGTGTCTCTCTAGCGCTGAGAGGATCCATTTGGGGAGTCGATTCGTTTGGTTGATTCATTTCAAAGAATCAATTCAGACGCTGATCCATATCTGAAATGTTATGTCCGGTCCATACCAGAACATAAATAAAGCATCATTTAAAACTACTGTGTATTATTGTCACATACTATGAGAATCAATGAGAATCAAACACCTACAGAGCTCGCGGGACGAGGCATAGGGCTTTTTCTGAATTAATCCCAATGTTCATCCTAGCTTTGTTCTATATTTAGTTCTGTAGGTTGTGTTTCGGTCAATACTATGTTGTTTAGCATTCAAACATCCACCCACCTCGCAAACAAAGTTCTTTATTTAGTATTTAGTGATTTACACTGGACGCTCAGCGATTCTGTTCGAATGAATCTTAAGAATCGGTTCGAAGAAACGATTCGTTCATGAATCACTAGTTCTCAGAAGAATAAATGAGTAGGAGGAGAAAAACATAAGCTGAAAAATTAATAAGCTTTACTTGCCAACTTGAGCACACATACAGTGCTTTTAAAGGTTGCTATTAAAAAAATCCCTCAATAAATGAATCACTGAATTAATCCCAATGTTCATCCTAGCTTTGTTCTATATTTAGTTCTGTAGGTTGTGTTTCGGTCAATACTATGTTGTTTAGCATTCAAACATCCACCCACCTCGCAAACAAAGTTCTTTATTTAGTATTTAGTGATTTACACTGGACGCTCAGCGATTCTGTTCGAATGAATCTTAAGAATCGGTTCGAAGAAACGATTCGTTCATGAATCACTAGTTCTCAGAAGAATAAATGAGTAGGAGGAGAAAAACATAAGCTGAAAAATTAATAAGCTTTACTTGCCAACTTGAGCACACATAGTGCTTTTAAAGGTTGCTATAAAAAAAATCCCTCAATAAATGAATCGATCTGCACATAATTTATTATCAGGCTATGAGCAGTACTAGAAGTATTGTTGTTGTCCTGCACTGGATAATCAAAAATCCCATACTTTTAATTTCAGCCACAATTCACAGTTGTCCAGGCTGTCTAAACTGAACAAGCACCAAGGAGACCATGCAGGCAACTTTTAGGCAAGGTTTTGTCAAGCCAATGTTTAGCGTCTTGACAACCTGATGACAGGCCTAATGTTTATTGCCTGTGTTGTCCCACATCTCCACTCTATAATGCTGCAATATAATCATTCGAGTGACATTTTTATATGACTTAATTCTTAACGACATATATAGAATTACATAGTATATATACAGTAGCAGTATATAGCATTTTCATAATGTTATGTTAATATTCCCATTCTCACAAAGGATGAGTTTATTCATTGTGGAATTGCGTTAGCTCATTTAAGTCAAAAGACTTCATTCTATCAGATGTCTAATCCCAAGGCACTAAAAAGCATAAAAGGCATGTAGATATTAAAGCAGTCTTGCTAGAAATGTGGCCCTTTGATTGTCAGCAACACTTGGTTCTTTGTGCAAAATAGATCAGATTTGATCAAGAAAAGACTCAAATGGTAAAAGTCACATGGGCTCTTCATTCAGAACTCTAGCCTGCCCTATAAAACGTGTTGGGCTTATGAACCAGAAAAAAAGATCAATAAAAGAAAATAATAATAAATCAATACAAAAAAATACAAAATAAATCAGGACAATGACTGCAATATCATGTTTTTGCTGAGCGACACGAATGAGTCATTTCTAATGTTTTCATAGCAGTGTTATTTGATATACTATTTATAGTTTTTGTTCATTTTTTATTATTAATTTCAGTCATTTGAGCACTTCAAATGAAACTAAATGAAAATGAGAAATGTTAGCTGATTTTGCATTTCATTTTATTATATTTTATTTCATTTAAGATTTGTTTCAAGTACGTTTTAGCTTTAGTTAAAGGGGTCATATGATGCTATTTTAAAGATCATTATTTTGTGTATTTGGTGTAACAGAATATGTTGACATGCTTTAATGTTCAAAAAACACATTATTTTTCAAATACTGTACATTATTGTAGGTCCTCTATGCCCCGCCTCTCTCAAACATGTCGTTTTCAACAAAGCCCCCTCCTTTGACAAGCGCAGTCTGCTCTGATTGGCCAGCTGACCCAGTGCATTGTGATTGGCCGAACACCACAAGCATGCGTCGGAAATGTAACGCCCCTTACCATAATCACAGCTTCAGCTTTCAAAGTACAGTAAATATCAGTTAATAAATACAGTTAATAATGTCGTTAGTTTTACCATCAGTTCAAGCCCGAAAGGGCAACAGAGTCGCGTGACAGAGCCTTCTTTCTTTGCGTGCACATTTGGGCGGCATTATGCTAATATTTCCACATAGTGACGTAGACATGTGGGGGCGTGTTAGAACGAGCCGTTTTAGGTAGGCGTGGTTGACTCTTAACTTTTATAAAGAATATCTCTTTGGATTTGAGACTTTAGTCTATGCAACTTCACAGATCTTCTTTATGCACCAAGAGCTTGCAACACTCCAAAGAGAAAGAAAAAATTTTAATAACATCATATGACCCCTTTATTAACAATAATAGTTTCCCTGATCCTCAAGCATGTCTTACCACCATCCTCAAAACCTTCTAAAACTCAACATGAGAGGCATCACAAATCCTCTAATTTTACTCATGCACTATTAAGAGGATATATAGGATGTTATTTATTCTGTTCAAACCTGCCAAGTCAGTCTTGTGGCAAACATGGAGCTCTCTGCTGTTGCCATGGTGATCTGATATCTGACATTCACCATGCAGCAACAAGCATCCCTGCCAAAATGCATGGCCCAAAATAGATCTGATGTATTTTATGTGATTAGTCGGAGGGTAACTGCACTCCTGCAGCTGAATCCATATTGGAACTGAAATGGTTTGACTGCTCTTCATGTCTGGAGAGTGATCGTAACAAGCAGCTTATATGTATAGATATTTTACACATTACTAATTCAACATACATTTTTTTTAATATACTTTTTTATATATCATTTTGTAATTATTTAAAAAAATAACAGACAAAGACTTACAAAAAATCCTATTTTAGTAGCTTATTAACATTTTTAAATAATTTTAAAATTGTAAAAACGATACTTTAGTCCTACTAGGTTAGCCTACTATATTGATATTTGAATCAGTTATTACATTCCTATTTCTAAAAAGCTTTCATTTTGATTAAAATGTTTAAAAACTAAGCAACAAAACACACACTGAATGCAGCTTAGTTAAGAGTTCATGTTTGACAGTCGATCAACAAGAGCATAAGCCATTTATAAGCATTTCTCCTGTTTTATTATCTTACTTTATTTATATTTTTACATTTTAGCACTGGTGAGATATGTGGTATCTGCTGCTTTTGAAAGTCATATGACTTTCTACTGTCACTTGTACAAAAATACTCAGTTGATAGAATGGAAGTAAAATGTCATAATGGGAGGGGCTTAATGGCCTGGATGTTATCTCTGATTGGTCAGATTCGCTCAGTTATGTAATTTTTAATGCAGAGATGACATTGTTTGAGATGTCTTTGTTATGGGCTATGGTTAGGGGTAATGGTAGGGGTAGGGTTAGGTCAAATAATGTCATATTTGCATTAAAAATTACATAACTGAGCGAATGACACTTAATGACAGTTGTCATAAACATGCATAAAACCTCCTTCATATTCATGACATGTGTCATGTCATGATTATGAAGGTGTCATGTCAGTCTTATGCACACCCCTTCAAGTAAAGTTTTACCTAATTATCTTTACATTTTAATTCCCTTACGAAAATTAACCATGGTTTTACTACAAATTAAACCAAAACAAACAAAAATAAAACATGGTTACAATAGTTAAACCATGCTAACCACAAACTGACCATGGTTTTGCTACACTAACCATCAGTGTTGGGGAAAGTTACTTTTAAAAGTAATGCATTACAATATTACGTTACTCCATATAAAAGTAACTAATCACGTTACTTAGTTACTTTTTATGGAAAGTAATGCGTTACGTTACTTTTGCGTTACTTTTTAAATCTGGAGAGGGCTTGCTTGTTTGTTTTTAAAATAAAAAAGTTAAATTTTTGGCAAATAAAAAAGCCTTTTCATACCAAAAGTGAAATGAGTAAGCCTCAGGCTGAAGGGAAAGTACATTTACGTCCGTACAGTAGAATGCAGAAGAAGAAATTATATTATATTGATATTGTGAGTGAGATGAATTAATGCATATTTATATTTATTTTAGAACTACAGTAACATCTTACAGGAGAGCGGTCAATCAATAAATTGGGGGGGGGGGGAGAAACTTACGTTACTTATTTGAAAAAGAACCTCAGAAATTCTCTTTTAAATTAAAAAGTAATGCGTTATTTTACTAGTTACTTGAAAAAAGGAATCTGATTACGTAACTCGCGTTACTTGTAATGCGTTACCCCCAACATTGCTAACCATAGTTTAACCATGGTATTTGTAGTAAAAATGTGGTTATACAAATGGTAATCGATACGCCAAAAAAACACGTTTACTACACTTTTACTACAATAAAACCATGGGCGTAGCTTGTGGGGGCGCCAGGGGGGCCTGGCCCCCCCATAGCGATTAAAGAATTTTACTAAATATTTATTTATAAAGTTTTTTCTATGAAGTAAAAATGCATATAATGTAGTTAATAATACATGTAAAAGTTAATACATAAAAGTTAATACATTTTAAATTGTTATTGTAAGTAAATTAATGAATCAAAACAAACTTAACGTCTCCCTCAATCTCATTTGCGTAAAAATTGTCACGTGACGAATCTGCATTTTGGTGGATAATAGACTTAACGGTAATGCTTGCCTGTTGTGTGGAATAAAATGATGTTCCGCGTTTTTAACAACATACACGAACTGCTACACACTACTTTATTGCCAACAATTTACATCCTAATGTTATTTAATTTTCACAGAACACAACCTTTAAATAGATTTTTGAATATAAACTGTTTATCGTCTATTCAGTAAGACTAAATAAAAA